AGTCTGGGTTTCGTTCCTTAGGTTCTTAATCTTCTTAACTTACTTAATAATTTACTAACTTAGACAAAAAATTACTTCAATGGAATATGACCCAAACTAAAATAAATAACTAAAATAAAAATATTTAGTAAAATATTAATTAACAAAAATTAAAACTAACTTAGAAATTTTGAAAGAACTTTTTGCAAACACGTTAACGATGTGAAACAGAACTGGATATTGAAGAGAAATAATTGCAGTGTCTCAGACGACAATCAAATCTCGTGAGCTTTTTAAGGATTATGTCATGTATAGATTCCCCATAGAGAGAAATTAGGAACGGTTTTTCATTAAAAATTTTTTTCAAAATATTCGGGTACAAACGACTGTTACGAGCTTTACAAATTTCGATTCGTAAATTTACTTTTCACTTAAACATCTCACCAAATTGCATGTTTAAAAGCAATGAAGACATTTAACGATTTTTGAAGTATTAATATTATAAGTATTTTTAAAAAAAAAATGAAAAAAAAATACATTATTCATCGAAAAAGTTTTATTTCTTCAGACAATAATGTCCTTAATATAACTTATGTACAAAAGCAAGTAAAAGATTTTCTAATTAAATAATGTCATAGTTTTTTGCATTTTGTTTTTACAGTTCAGAGCAGATTTTCGATGAAACCAGTAACTGTTTTACATAAAAAAAAGAAAACTGGTGATTTACTTTCTCTAAAGTGTCCTGTTTTTAACTAATAAAAAATCACATTCTAAAAAATTCAATTTCTTGAAATTCTATGAAAATATGTAAGGAGGTGGGAACATATAAAAAAAAAAAATACCAAGATTTTCTAAAAAAATAAAAAAAAAATAATGTCATTCCTTTCATAATATTTCCTGTAAGTTTCATTAAAAGCCGACAATTATTTGAATTTTGCAAGAAATCAAGGTGTGTTTCCCTCGGCAAAAGCGCAAAATAAAACCTTTTTTTCTCTTTTCGAACGCTGTCGTAAAAAAAAAACAAGATTTTTAACCAAACTTTTCAACATGCTGGAAAGGAGTAAAAAATTTCAAAAAATAATAAAAAAATCCTTTGGTTTTTCCTCTTAATAATAACATCAATATTTTGATGACAAAACTTTTTTTTCGTTGAGTTATGGGCCTTTTTTCATCATGCAATGCTGCTTTTTTACGCGACCAAATGGAGGTACCTTGTTAAGACTATAAAGTGTTGAATTCCATAATCCGATATATGTTAGGCGAATGAATGAAAACTTAGCAGAAATTCTATGTAACGTGTCTTATCCTTTAGAAGGGCTTCAACGGATTATTGTAATCTAATGTTTTTGTTTATGCAATTATAAATGTGTGTAAGGGGGGGGGATTGTAATATAAATACACAGGCGTCGTTTAAAATGATGCCCTCATAGGAAATGTTGGGTAATTACAACCGATGCCTTCGTTTTTATATCTCCATCCTACCGATCCTAAAGATATATAATTCCATCAACAAAATTACTACGTGCATTCACATCGGCCACAACGGATAAAAAAACCGCGATATTTAAGATTGACTCACAATAATACATAACTTCCAATCGATTGCAATAACGGATGTATGCCCTTTCACATAGAAAAAGATTACTTCATTATAATTTTGCTTGTCCATACCTTTGTTACTTAGCTAGCACAACCATTACGCCCTGCCTAAGACTTGTTTTAATAATATTTCTTTAACTTTTCTTCCGTAATGAATTTGGACAATTTCCGGCGGAATTTCCTCCTAAGTCTGAAAAAAAATTATTTATAATTTAGAAAAATTGATCAGTAAAAATAATAAGATTAATCGGTGCACAATATATGTTGGCTTTCATACCATTTGCCTTAAAGAATATTTGCTGCCTAAATACACATAATATATACAAACACACACACACACACACACACACACATATATATATATATATATATATATATATATATATATATATATATATATATATATATACATATATATATATAATTAGTAACAAAGCCATTGGTTTATACCAACGGCTTGCCATATAATACATCTCGTTTTCACTCTCGCGTGGTCATGTGTGACATCATGAGCTGCAGTGCGATTTTCGCTTCCAGCGTCTTATATGCACGAGTTTGTCGTTGGTAGGAAATCTTCCATGCAAACAGAAACAGACTATCATCACTGTCTTGTCCGTGTATTGAATAATATATTGTAATGTAATTGTCATCTTTTATAATGCCATGTAAGCCAAAAGCTTAGGATTACAAAATATGTATCCATATTGTGATTTTCTTCCTTCGCTTAATGATAATGTTATTAAGCTTATCAGACGATATGAAAAGAATTTACATAGAATAAATAGACAACACTTAATGAAACATGCAGCAATGAAAAAATGTTGCCTAAATACACAATATATATATATATATATATATATATATATATATATATATATATATATATATATATATATATATATATGTATATTACGATAGCAGTTTACTGCAGTATGATATGATCTTGATTTAACACCAGCAGGCATTTATTTATGAGAGAGTCTAAAAGGATGCAATGTGTCGCAGTAATCCGACTACATTGGCGACCCTTAGACAAGAAATAGAAAGTGCATATGCAGGAATCCCACTAGATACTTTGCAGAACGTTTCTCAAGCAGAATATTGCCACACTCATAAATGTTTGAAAGCCCATGGCCACCATTTGGAATATCACTTGTGATTGTCGAGTACTAATGTAACTTGTATTAATCTCGTGATGTCGGAATAAACTTATTATTACAATATCTATAAATTTTTGCTTTTCCTGAAGTATCTATACATTTTTGACTACACTATCTGCTATTAAATTACCCATGAGTTAATTTTGGATTTCTTTGTTATAGCAATATATATATATATATTATATATACTTTTTACATCCCATTAAATAATTTTGGATTTCTTTGTTATGCAATATATATATATATATATATATATATACTTTTTACATTCGACACAATCACTTGATAAGACAAAAGAAGTGTTGAAACAAAATGGCTATTTTTCTAGTGATTTTATAAAATATTTATGTTATAATTTTCGAATAAATAATTATATTTGCTCTACTCTGTATTGAGCACTCTTTTAAGAATAGTATTTGTTGGTTATTGGAATTTATTCGCATAAACCAATCCTATATATTATATATAATATATATATATATATATATATACATACATACATATATATATATATATATATATATATATATATATATATATATATATATATATATATATATATATATATAAAATAGGAAGGAACTGGTTACGTAAATAATCCAAAGTTCCTTAGTATTTTAGTTATTATTTTTTAAAAATAGTTCTCGATAGAAAAGTAGAGCATAAATATAATTTGCGACATAACTTCAATATAATTGTTTGAATTAAATTGAATTAAAGTAAGCTCTGTTCCATCTTCAAGCGAATTTTTTTCGCTTGAAGATGGAACAGAACTTACTTTAACTCAATTTAATTCATAGGCAGGAAGATTCTATTGGCCAGCGTGAGAGCCAACAGCTGACTGACACGAATGTTAACTAGCATGCAAAAACAATCGATAGCTGCATTCGTCACAAGTGGGAAAAATTTAGATCTGCATGGCACTTTACTCCAATTGGCTCATTCGCTTGCTTAAAGTCAATGTTGATTTTGATTCCGCAGAACTGGGTTGGGTGTGAAAAAGTATTCTTTTTTCATTCGGTTTTTCCAGTTACGAGTCCTTTTTTTTAAGCTGATCGTTTTGTGTTCATTTTGTTTAGTTCTTTTCTCCTAATAGATTTAATGTTTAGTATAGAGCTTAGAAAAAAATCGCAGTGTGAGATAGGCAAGAAGTAAGGCATGTAGCAACATCAGCACGGCAAAGGGCACTCCTATAAAGGCAAGGAAGGGCAAAATATTTTAAATCAAGTGATAGCGATTGCTGTATGAGTCGTACGATTTTTGAATCAAGCACGGGCAATGCCGGGCCATGCTGCTAGTCTAAGATACATAGATGAAGTTATTCTAATATATCCTCACAATGAAACATTTCTAGACATCATAAAGAATTCACATGAATTTGAAATAGACAAAATCTCGACTTTTCCAACACAATATAAATAGAGTTCGAAAGTTTGAGGATACTCCTGTTAATTTTTAAATTGAACATAAAAGTAAGTATTTTGTAATTTAAATTAGAGGGAAATAATTATATATGGTTAAAAAAAAAATGAGAGATAATGATTATAAATTTTATGATGACAAAAAGAAAAAAGCATTTTATGAGTAAAGTTTGCTCTCGCCAAAATATCCTCCGTTAGCCTTGATTATTGCAGCACAAATTTTTGCCGTTCGCTTCTTAAAGTATACGTTTAATAATTGATTTCATTCTTTGTTTCAATGATTGTAAGACCTTTTTCATTTTTTTTAATCTTCTGTCAAGTTTTTTTTTCATGTTAATTCTGGGGGTTGCTTTAAACTGTAGTGTACGTTAATTTGATTTTTTTTTTGTCTTTTGTTAAATGAAATCAAGCTGCGTGTATGCGTGTATTTCAGAAAGGAAAAGAAAGACGGATCTTCGATGGGAAAAAAACTATGCAATGATGTTATGCTTGTCTATTGTAAGTCACTAACACGCGTAATGCACGTGGGTAGTGTAAATAAACCCTGAACCAACACCAGCATTCAAGATATACGCAAGATGAAAGCTTGTTTTCACCGTAACATTAGAAAAAAAAATAAGGTAATATTTTTTAATTTCGAACATGAGTAATTTTCGCATTCAGCGATGCATTTTATTCGACTGCGGTTTGGGATCTAAAACGTTCATTAAATTTCGTTTTATTTTTTTTCTTTTATTTGTTTTTTTCTTTTTCTTTTATTTGTTTCCCTTTTCTTTGGTTTTCGGACAAAATAAAAGAGGTAAAATAACGACAAGAAATAATCGTCTTTTCGAAGGCCCATATGCGTCTCATTATCTTAAATTGCGAACAGGAAGTCGTTGGCGAGAAATTCTTATCAACGTTTGCTGAGTTCAATCGACACGAACGGAGACAAATTTTGTACAGATGAAGAAAACAGCATCTGCTAACTTATATCAAGTACACGCAGCCAAACACTATATATATATATATATATATATATATATATATATATATTTGTGTATTTGGGCAGCAATCCCACTTTTATACAAGTTTCGTTAAAGACGACTAAAGTATGTAAAAACTGTCCAAATGTTCTATATATCTTAACGCTTCGGCTGTAGTAGTAGGATGTTTTTTTAATTTAATATGTTGTTTTTGTATATGTGTTTTTCTAGTGATGGAAATGGTTTATTTTCAAAACACGGTCAGCTTGTTGTGTCCGTGTTCCTAGTTGACATAACTGAGTTCTGGCTTTTTAAAAATTATTAAAGCACATGTTTCAAATCTTTCAACTCACGTGACCAAATTACTTGACATAAACTTTCTTTTATTTCTTATTACTTTTGCCTTTCTCTAGCAATTTTCCTAATCTTGTTCCCATTTTCTCTCTAAATGTTTTTTCATTTTCCCGCTTTTTTCTTTACAATTCTCTATTTGTTCATTTTAACTATTTTTTTTTTCTCTTTTTACTTTTGTTTTATTCCCGAATTTTATTGCTTGCTACTAAATAATTTTCTATATTTTAACTTTTGTTTGTTTCTTTTCTTCTTTTTTGCTAAATTTCTTTCTTTTTATCATTTTTCATTCTTTTTCTTTTACATTTTTTATTTTCTTTTTGTTTTTCTTTTTCATTTCACTTTCATTATTTCTTTTAGTCATTCATTCTTTTTCATTTTTTTACCTTTTTTCTTCTTGTGTTTTTGCTTTCATTTATTTTTATTCTTTTAGATTTTTTTTTCCTTTCTTTTTTTTTCTCTTACTTTCTTCCTCTTTTTTCTTCCATTCTTTTTTCTTTATTTTTCTTTCTTTCTTTCTTTCTTTCTTTCTTTCTTTCTTTCTTTTTTTACTTTTTTCTTCCCTTCTTTCTTTTTCCTTTATTATTTTCCTTACTTTCTTTCTATTTTCCTTCCTTCCTTTCTATTTTCCTTTTTTCTGTCCTTTCTTTCGCTTTTTCTTTCTTTCTTCCTTTCTTTCTTTCTTACTTTCTTTGTTTTTCTCTCTCCCTTTCTTATTGTCTTTCTTTCTTTCTTTCTTTCTAATTTCCTAATATATTTTCTTTCTTCCTTTTTTCTTTCTTCCTTTCACTTTTTTGTTTCTTTCTTTTTTCTTTACCCTTCTGTGTTGTTCTTCCTTTCTTTCTCCCTTTCTCTTGTTTTTTTCTTTATTTTTCCTTTCTTTCATTTTTTCTTTCGTTCTTTTTTCTTCCTTTCTTTCTCTCTGTATTTCTTTCTTCCATTCTTTTTTTGTCTTTTCCTTCTTTCTTTTTCTTTTCTTTTTTCTTCCTTTTTTTTCTTTCATTCTTTTTTTTTCTTTTCACTCTTTCTTTCTTCATTCATTCCTTTCTTGTTTTCTTTCTTTCTTTCTTTCTTTCTTTCTTTCTTTCTTTCTTCCTTCTCTTTCTCTGTTTTTCATGTTTCTTTCCTTGTATACCAAAGAGTACTAAAGATGCCCCAAAATGATCGACTCCTTCCACCCTTCCAATAAGCACCTGGCTCTGCCTGACATTCTCTATATAATCTGGAGTACTGGCGCCATATCTCTACCTACCCTTTTCCTCGATTCAGAAGCCTCTTCGCAATCTTCTGGGTGATGAAATATTTTCCAGCATACAGTCCATATCCCACAGCCTCTCATTTTCCCATCGCTATAGCCAAGGTAAATGTTCTGACGAAATATTTGTATATAATACGCACGTTTACACACATACACCTTAATTTAGGTTCAGAAATCTGGGAAAAGAATATCATAGACATGAATAACGTCATTAAAATATTTTCTCTCCGTCTTCAGTTCCTATTCTCGCTACGTTCTGATGAGATATGTTCCTGAGTTGCACCAGTTCTGTCTTTCACAGCAAAGACTCGCGATGCCACGTACATTTGAACGAATCATGCTCATTCCTTTCGTGTTCCTTTTGTGACAAGGAATTTCCATTCAACCAGATTCTTCCTAACAACCGCTAATTTCTGGAAAAGACTCCCGAGAGGATAATTCCGTAACAATTACAATCTTAACCTTTTCAAGTCAAGGGTTAATTCTTATCTTTTCTACAAATACATATTACCTGCACTTCCTACCGTCTCCTCTTTTGTGTATCAACCTCAACAAGTAACCTTCTAACTTGAGAGGCTCTTTGGCTATGTATTTGGTGAAGAATTAGTAAACATTTTATTTGATTTATTTTTCTCTCATTTTTGCTCCTTTCTTCCGCGAATTTTTATTTATTTATTTATTTTTTACTGTTTTTATAATTCTTCTTTCTTTTTTCTTTCTTCTTTCTTTCTTTTTTCTTTATTTCTGTCTTTCTTTTTCATTCTTTCTTTCTTTCTTTCTTTTTTTCTTTCTTTCTTTTTTTACCTTCATTTTCTTCTTTCTTCCAAAAATGTTAATTTATTTCTTACTGTTTTTATATTTTTCTATCTTTCATTCTTTCTTCCTTTTTCTTTCTTTCTTTCTGTCTTGCTTTTTCTTTCTTTCTTTCTTTCTTTCTTTCTTTCTTTCTTTCTTTCTTTCTTTCTTTCTTACCATCATTTTCTCCTTTCTTCAGCGAATTTTAATTTATTTGTTACTGTTTTTATATTTTTCTTTCTTTCATTCTTTCTTTATTTCCTTTTCTGTCTTTCATTCTGTCTTTCTTTTTCTTTCTTTCTTTTCTTTCTTTATTTCTTTCTTTCTTCATTTTTTCTTTCTTTTTCTTTCTTTCTTTCTTACCATTATTATCTCCTTTCTTCCGCGAATTTCAATTTATTTCTTACTGTTTTTATATTTTTCTTTCTTTCATTCTTTCTTTATTGATTTCTTTCTTTCTTTCTTTCTTTCATTCTTTTTCTTTCTTTCTTTCTACCATTTTCCTATCCAGGTCTCCATTCCTGTTTATATACACCGAACCTCCAGCCAATAATCTTCTCGACATTCTCATAAATAACTCCATCACCTCATTCCCAAGAGACCTGAACATGAATAATTACTCTTTTTTCCCACTAACCTTTCCGGCCAAAGGTTTGATCGCCATTTTGTTTAATTTCGCCATCAACTCGGTTCCCAACAATCTATTTCCCGCCATTTATTTTAGAGCGTCTCTTTGATTGGTCAATATGTCCAAACGCACGCACATCTGCATTGATGTTTTCCAAATCTTTTGTATGTATTTGTCTGAGAAACATATTTGCCGGTCTGCACAAAATCAATTTGGAGACTTGCTTTTACGCCATCATGGATTTCAACGCAAAATCAGCCGTGTGATTTTTTTTCTTCATAATCAATTTTATTTTATACTTGTTTTATTTTCTCCCAGTAATTCCGCTTCGTTATTTTGGCTTTTTTTCTTTGTTAATTACATTTTGTTGTTGTTGATGTTGTTGTTGTTGTTGTTGATGATGTTGTTTTCATATGCATTTTTATGTTTTTCGTTTCAAATTATATATCAACTGGCGGTGTTCCACCAGCATCGGAACTAAAGATTTCGAAGCCACCAGAAGAAAAAAAGAAGAAGGCAAATGACAAGAGAGAAAGGCTTGACAAAATCAACCTCCTCCTCAACAATCATTATCATGCAGTCAGTGCCATTGGCTATTCCATGCAGGAATTGGTCTACTTAGTCAGCAACGCTAACGTCATAAAGGAAACGATCAGTAAAGAGAAATTAAATTCTTGCATAGGAGATAATGCCGATGATGATACAACTTTGTCACTAACAGTTTATTATTTAAATGCTCACTTTCGCACAAACACAAGCACACACACATAAACACACACTCACTCACACGCACGCGCACACACACACAAAAACGCACACACACACATATATATATAGATAGATAGATAGTTGCATAATCTATCTATAAAGAAATATTCTCCAGATTGCTATGATATATGTTATTAATATATACTTGCAAATGCTCGCTTTGATACACACACACACACGCATACACGCAGACATGCAGATAGATAGATAGATAGATAGATAGATAGATAATATTTTCTATCTATTTATGAAAAGATAGTCTCCGGATTATCATATATGTCATTAATATACACTTGAAAATGTTCGCTTTGACATGCACACGCGCGCACGCACACACAAACACACACACACACACACACACACACTCAAATAGATAGATAGATAGATAGATAGATAGATAATCTAAACACCCTTAAAAGATTTAGATTTTGTCACAAAGATTAGGGAGCATGATGAAGCTTATAAGTACCTTTAGCGAAGGAAATGGCATACAACACACCCAAATGAAGGAAAAAATAAGAAAAAAGTACTACAGGCATGTATGTCTGGTACTAAATACTGATCTAAACTCAAAAAACAGAATATCGGCCATAAACACATTGGCTGTCCCTGTGGTGCAATATAGCTGAAATTAAGCGAATGGACGCCAAAACGAGAAAGCCTCTCACTTGCTATCGCATGCATCATCCCAAAGCTGATCGCCTGTATGTTCCCAGATCCGAAGGAGGCAGAGGATTAGTTCAACTAGAACTGTCCTACAAAACTACAACAATCGGCCTCCAAAGATACTTGGAAACTACTGGATGATGGTATGCGTCAAGGAACATGAAAGTAGTAAGCGTCTTTACTCCGTAATAAAAGAAGCCAACAAATTCAAAATGGAGTTTCAAATGGGCGTAGAGATGCAACTACAGCACATTACACCGACTGAAACTGCAAAATACTTAAAAAAGACAACCAAGACGAATGCAACCGACCAGATACAGAAGCGATGGCAAGATAACCCGCTTCATGGCCAATACCCTGCCCGTACCAAACAAGCTGACATAGACAAAACCCGTACCCATCAGAGGCTACGTAGTGCAGTGTTGAAAGCTGAAACTGAAGGTTTTATCCTTGCTGCACAGGACCAATGCTTACTAACTAGGAATTATCAAGCACATATACTAACATATTGTATCAGCCCAAAATGCAGTGATAAATATCCAGAAACGATTGATCATCTTGTATCAGGTTGTAGGTGTTGGCACCCACTGAATATAAAACCCGGCATGACAGAGTGGGCCAATATCTGCACTGGAAAATCTGCAACTCCTACGGGAAGGAAACTGAAAGAAACTGGTATGAACACTACCCAGACCCGGTTACGGAGATAGGACATGCTACAATTCTATGGGAGTACACAATACACACTGACAGAACAATCAAAGCCAACCGCCCAGGTATTGGTATTAAAGACAACAAACAAAAACGGTGCCTCCTTGTTGATATGACAGTCCCTGCTGACAGCCATGAATCTTTGAAGATATTTAAAAAGCTATCAAAATACAAGAACCTTGAAATAGAAATCTCGAAAATGTGGCATATGGGAACATCAACAATCCCTGTTGTAGTTGGAGCCCTACGATTGGTTGGAAAAGATTGCAGACTAATTGAAAGGATTCCTGGAAGTCAATGACTCGAGGAGATACAAAAAATTGTTCTGACAAGTACAGCCTACACTTTACGAAGGGCTTTATCTATGTAATTTTTTTTTTTTTTTTTTGTCAGTGGAAAGTGTCATGATGCCATTTCTAACCTTAGGTCCCTGGGCGGGACCCGGAAAGAAATGTGTAAACATAAAAAAAATCAAAAGAAAATAATAATAATAATAATAATAATAATAAAATCTCCAACAAAACCTTTGCCATTTCTTGCTTCCCAGCTTGTTGAAAACACTCTTTGTGTTTTTTTTTTTATCATTTTAAGAACTTCGGGGGATATTTTTGATCTGAAATTATCGCCTTGCTTGACGTGTTAATAATAAATATTATGGACACCACTGAGAAGCATAGAGTGACAATGATAGACGCACACACACGCATATTACACGGCCATACAAGTAGATATACAAATAAACATGCTCATGTATACAGAGACACACCAAGATACACATACGAGCATACACACACACAAACATATATATATATATATATATATATATATATATATATAAAAAATATAGTCTTAAGGTGTGCTATATTTATGGGATAAAGTGCTCGATATCAGAGATAAAAAGTGTGTAAATATAAAAGTGGACATAAAGTAAACACTTAGATTTGACAGGCTGTTTTCATGCAAGACGCAATCCAGGCCACCACAAGAGCATGTATGGTGGACTGACGATTGCGTCTAGGATTAAACAGCCTGTCGCCTCTAAGTGTAGACTTCTATGTCCACTAATATATATATATATATATATATATATATATATAGCGTATATAAAAGCAAAATTGTCCAATCCAGATAATGTTTAGTATCGAAAAACACTCTGGACTAATTGAGTTTCTTTCTTCCAGGTTTTCAGAGAAGACGTTTAGGTAACTTGACACTATTTGTCGTAAGAATCACAGAAAACCCCTTTGAGTTATTCAGCTAGAAAAAGAACAGCTTAAAATAGTTTTGTGTCTGACCCACTGTCTTCCCAAAAGAGCAATGGTGAGAGGAAAAAGGTCATTCAGGCCTTCAGTAATGTTAGGAACATTGATACTCTGACTTTAATCTTCACAGTATCAAGAATCATCAAGAGAACCGTGAATAAGTTTTAAAAAGAGGGAACACTAGAGAGGAAAGATTGGATCAGCAGGTCGCAAAGAGCAGTGATAAAAAGACTTGAAAATAAAATCGTATGTGAGACTTTTAAGCCACCTTCTTCCTCCAGGCCAGAAATTTAGAAGGTTAGAGCGGGAAAAGATGAGTTGAATAAGTTGGAAAATGATACTGGAATGAAATAAAGTTCATATATATATATATATATATATATATATATATATATATATATATATATATATATGAACTTTATTTCAATCATTCATAAACTTCTGATCCTTCGCGATAATTAATTAATGATCAATATAGTGTTATCAATAGTGTTCTAAAAACCTATGAGAATTCCAGTAATTTAACTTTAATCATTTCTAAGGTACAACGGTTCAAAACTTAGTCTAAAAAGTAGAGAATTTTACTTTTATAATTTTGCTGAAACTTACATATATATAAAATATATATATATATATATATATATATATATGTGTGTGTGTGTATGTGTGTGTGTATGTTTGTATGTGTGTTTCTGTATGCACGTGGATGTGCAGCGAAAGAGAGAGATAGAGATAGTTTTACGTAACTACAATACATTTTAATAAGTTTTGTAACATTTTGCAAACAATTCCGTCTATTGATGTTTTCCAGTTTTCGAATAATATGTTGCATATCGTAATCAGAATTTTAGATCAATTTTGTCCAAGTAGTTTTGTCCCATCAGTCATTATCCAGGGAAGGAAGTTGTCAATACGGTCGACAAAACTTTGTTGGGACGCTAGAATTCAGATCTCTGCGTATCATACAAAAGTCCTCATGTCTACATGCATGAGATAGTATTCTAAACTTTATATACTTTCCCGCTATATAAAGTTTTGCTTGTTTATTATCGAACTCCTCTTAGGGTTTTGGAGATAGACCCCCCATAATATTCTGAAACTACATTACCCTAATTACTTGGGTAAGTACATTTCATTTTGATCAAAGGGGGTCCCCGGAGAAGATACTGAAAATTTTGTCCCTTTGATATTAATTAAATTTAAATTTCAACAACGGAATTACTCCTAGGGTGATTTGATAAGTGTATTGCATTTTGATCAAAGAAGGTCACCTGGGGACATTAACCTCCTATTGAAGTTTTTTTTGGTTTGACTTAAATTTAAATTTGAACAAGGGAATGTCATTTATCAAAAATATCGGAGGAGAAAGCCAGAAGATAGGAAGTCACATCACCAACATCATTCAGATGAAAGGGGAACTCGGAGGTCAAAAACACCTCACTATTTTTCCTCCCTTAGGCTTAAATTAAATTTAAA